GCAGTTCATACTTCTCAGAAATAACAGGGCACTGTAACTTCAATCCACAGATGTGCCACGCTATGTTTTTTCAAATTACTAAGGGTTAATAAATGGTTGGCAGAAGGCCACAATTAAGTCTGATGGTGGCGATAGAGTGATGTTGAGGCGGCTAATTTCTCTATAGGATGTGTTAGCGGGGAGCTGTGGGTGGGGTGGGGTGTGAATAAGGATGATTGTGAGTAACTGGCAAGGGGAGCGAAGGAAAATCCAAACCTCCATCTGCAAATGATCATCTCGTTCGCCAGAGTGCGAGCAGGAGCCATTCCCATGAGATTTGGGTGTGTTTTGGGAGCTATAAAAAGCCCTTGGCAATAAAGGCAGGTTATTATTGTGGTGAAATTACTGATACTAACTTTGGCCTCCTTATTAAAACCCAGGGGGAAAATGCTAGCTAATTTAAAATGTAAAAAAGTTATGTTAGGCCTCCAAACGTACCTGTTCGTACGCATTTACGTGTGAGTGAGAGTGACATGACTAATTATTTGATTTTTGACTTCATCGGCCGCCATACCGATATCACCTATAACATGCAGGAATGCCTGAAAGTAGATTGTCTTAGCTGGAAACAGAAAAGTGAATACAGAGGAATATTTATGAACCATCTATATGGCGAACAAACCCTGAGGCGTCTCACAGAACAACCATGTTTTTTGACACGACAACCCAGCGTTACCTTACATCCTAGCATCCGCTGTAAAACATACACCCTTAGAAGAGTTTATTAGGCCATGAAATAATTCCTAGTTTGTCAGCTCTTGTGTTTTTTTTTTTATCCGTTCTCTTTTAACACAAAACAACACAGGCTTCCCTGTGAAATCATTCTTTCCATTCCTTCATTTTATTCCTGGGCTGAGATGCTTACTTGAGTCAAAAAGGCTCAGCATTATGCTTGTACACTGTATGTCGTGAATTTTGGCCGCTGACACCCCAAACACAACAGCCCCTGCCCCTGCCAATCAAGCAGAGTAATAAATCACCGCACAACAGAGGACCCATCAGCACCATGGGACAATAGGAGAAGAAGGACAACAGGCGTCTAAGAGACCCCACCAAGGTCCAATGCGGACCAACCCGGTCCTGGTCTCAAGGGTCAGTGTGTTAAAGAAGAGCTAAGAGGAGAAATGATAACAACCTTCAATAGCCTTCAATAACATTTCTGGTCGCGGAATGGTTAAAAATGGTCGAAAGGGTTGACATGTCCGACCAAAAGCCAAATACAGCCCTCTGTGGACTGGACTTGGCCCAGAAGTGACCGACTCAAATCTGGCTCAGACCGGACTGGCTCACATCCGTGCATGTCAACGCTCACTATCAGAGCTACGAGAAAAACCTGATTGAGTCTGCTGCGCTATACCCATTCCTACAAAGCCTGCTGGTCTCTCCCAACACCACAGAACAGCCCTCAGAAAAGAGCAAAGGTCTGTAAAACCTACTAATTTCACACACTCAGATCTGAAACCAAAGTAAAACCAACACCCCAAGAGATGCAGGGCCACGATGGTATTGAGGGAGCCACTTGCATCTCCCGAAAACATGTGATCTCGATTAGCTTCACAACAGAAGCAAAAATCCATTCCCTTTCCAACTTTGCGTGCTTCCAGGGATGTGCATCCTGGTTTCGTATCTTCCACAAGCAGCTATACTTAAGGCTAAATGGTGTGTTTGCTCAAGCTATAGAAGTCAGAGGCTGTGCCTTTTAACACTTGATGAAAGTATTGCCTGAATCATTCATTTAGCTGTACAATTGAACATCATAAACAGTGCAGATAATTTTCAATGAAAGCATGGCGTAAACACACTAACACAGATACCAGTATCTTTAAGAGAGAGCTGGGAAGGAACCCAAGAGCATGACGTGTACCTGATGACAAAAGCCCTCTACAGTATTAATACCACCCAGCTGTGGTAACCATGACAGCATAAACGAGATTGGGAAGCACGGCACGACAAACTGAAGTACTATTCCACAACAACACTTCCCCCCAAGTTTAATGAACTGTCTTCATTTGTGCTTTGAAGCCCACAACCTTTGAAACGGCTAAGTGGACACAGCAAATCACTCCTATCACACTAGAGGTAAATGGGGGTGGGGGGGGAGGCGAAGTTACAAGGAACCACAGTAGGAGATAGTCAGGGCGGGTGGTAGGGGAGACCACAAAGACTGGGAAAGGTCTCCTGATGACTTCCAAAAGGTCACGCTTCTTCCCAGACTGTAAATATCCAACGGGGTCCAAATACAGAAACCTCTGAGATGAGCCCCTCTTACATCTTGCCATTCTCTGCCCCTACAAAATTCCTGGCTTATTCCCTTATTCTTCATAACTTGATCAAATGAGCAGCCACATGTGTTTCCATGTAAGAACCTGTGCTCTGTCCGGAGCTTGGTTTTCTGTTTGGTTCTGATGTAAACACATTGAACATACTATCCTTCCCAATCTAAAAACACACAAAGCGGCAGTTCTGCCATAAATCCAGGCCACTACAGGACCCCCGAGAGCTTCCACAGGAGCCAGTGTGAGATTAAGTCTTTTGTTTCTACCAAAACATTATTGACCTGTTAAAAACAATACTTGCGAAACATGCAATGGTTAGAGTCAAGTTCTTTGCTTTTTTTCACTGATGACGGCAATGTATTGGCCTTCGCTGTGAGTATCTTCATACCCCTCTTGAGTGATCCTGTCTGGACCAGGTTCTCGGTCCCGAGAGATCAGGTCACGGTCTATAATTCTGGTTGGCTCTCCGGCCCTCCAGAGCTTGTCACTCCACATTCTCAGGCCAGCTCTTGAACTCGAATTGTAAGAGCAAACGCAGCAATCGCTTGACACAAATTAGGCCACATAATTACAAAGTAAACATTCCTCTCTCAAGGGCAAGGTGGAAAGTGGGGTTCGAGGGAGTGGGGGTTGATGGGGTAGCCTGAACCAACCCATGTGGTTTTTGATTGATGTGGAGCTACTTCAGAATAAAGGAAGACGCATCCGCTAAACAGCAAATTATTTTAATAGCTAGTGGAAACCGTTGCCTTGGGTTTCCGCTAACTATTAAAGGCACCATCTGACATGTGAAACCGACCGATTAGCAACTCATAAGCAAGAGGGTAATACAGTCACAAAAACATATCCTGATATTTTCTACGACTCTGGCAATAAAAACATTTATGACAATACTTCCAAACTCTACTTTTTTTCAAAACAACACCAACTGCTAACAGGATCAACTCATGCTGTTTATAGACAAACATCGTTTCACACAGGAAACACTTAACACTCAATATAAAAGGAAATGTAAACAGTGTAACATGCAGGTCTCTGGCTCACGTTATAGATTTCTGAGAAGGTCAAAGTAAGACTGGACTCAAACTGGATTAGTACCAAGCAGTGCTGAGAGTAACAGAAAACCAAATCAGATTTAAAAGGAAAGAAACCCAGCCTTCGATTTCTGACCCATTAAAACAAATAACTCTAGTTAAGGAAACAAATGTAATTGGCTGGCTGTTATATATTCAGCAAGTGTCACTGGATTGTGACATGATAATCTAAAGTAGCCTGACTGACCCTGTCAACGCTTGTCATTCTTTTGCCTTCAGTGGAATAAAGTGTCATGATCCGCTCCGTCCGCTCCTGATGTGTGCCACGCCCACCTCGTTACCTCGTGTTCAGCCCTGATTGTGATCACCTGAGTCCTGTTATGTCTAGCTTGTCTTTTGTATTTAGTCCTCGTCTGAGTCAGTCTTCCCCAGATCCGTCATTGTAGTGTCTGTGGATGTTCCTGCCTGTTTACCCTCCGTCTCGATTAAAACCCTGTTTGCCCGACTTCACGGCTTCGCTCGCCTGCTTTCCGGCTCGCCTGCCCCGCACCCTGACATAAAGAATATTTGAGCAAGAGGCATATTTCAAAAGCTGATCAGTCACATCTTCTAAACATTGAAAACTGTTTCTACCCAAAGCCACACATTATCAATTAAATTATCTGTGATCAATTAATTAGTTATACAAAGTGGCAGCTCTGACAAGACTGGAAGACAGAATGTTCCACTAGGAGGCAAAGGAACTGAGTGTGTGACATTTAATTAGATTTATTTAGCACTTATTTTTAATCTGGAAACGTTCAGTCAGAACTGCAAAAAGCATCATACCTTCTGAATATTTAATTTTTAGGGTCAGGTTTCCAAGAGAAAGACTAAATGTTTGGCCATTCATAACATTGTCTGGAGTTTCTTCCCACGATTGAGCCAATCAGGTTGATTTTTAGGGTCAGGTTTCTGATAGAAAGACTAAATGTTCCGCCATTAAAAACATTGTGTGGAGTTCCTTCCCACAACTGAGCCAATCAGGTTGATCAGAGCAGATTCTGACAGCATGTAAGGGCGTCACTCTATCAGTTGCCCATGTCTCGCTTTGACGGCTTATGCATTTATCCAGTGTGCTCTCATTTGTGCCATATTCATCGTGAGCCTTGTCGTTAACCAATGCCATACACACTCATTAGCTAATCAGCATCAGGCTTCCAGCTTGTGTATCTGTCTGGAAGACAAACGCCAGATGCAACAACAAAGCAAAAAAATATCCTTTTCACAAAGGAACTTATTCTCTCCTTTCAAAGAACTGAAAGGCCATGATTCAAATGCCAATAATTACTCCTTTTCTTTCTGTAAACCACATGTTCTAAGATAGAAAAAAGTGTGTCAGTCTATGGAATTAAAAATAGAATTCCAGTGTTCGTCCTGGCAAGCGCCATGAGTTGGAGCTAAAATTTGGATACAAAGAAAGGGGTTCTCTTTATCCATTTAACAGAGGGAAAAAGTCAGAATGAGAAAAAGACGCTCTTACAAATACGCAGGCCGGGCAGAGTAATGTCAGTGACCCAGTCCGATGATCTAGCGCAAGAATGATCATCCCAGCTGGTTGAACGTCAGAACCACCAGCCACATCCCTACTGTCCCACATCGGGACTCTTACCAGAAAGTGTGTCAGGACGATCTTGATCAGGGGAGAGCCAAAGAGGTTGATGGACAGGGCTGGAGACGGCTCCACGTTCAAGGAGATGAGGAAGCTGGTCACTTGGATCTTGTGGTCTTTGAAGCCGGCAGCCCCATCGATCCTGCCGGGTTCAGCAGAATGGCACACAGTCGTTACACAGGTGTGGGGCTATTAGCGTTAACTTAATCCTAAGGAGTTCATTGATCCTAATGGGATCAAAAGAACACTGGGTTTTATTTTGTTTTGAAGCATTTTGAATGTACTAAGGCAGCAATCAATATCTGTAAATTGCCCAATGATACACTCATTACAAAACTAACCCAATCATCCTCCAGCATTACAGCACTACCCAAGGCCCCCTCAGTTCCCTAGTTCTTAAGGACCAAGACAGGACCAAGACAGAAGTGCAGTCCTATGAGGACAGAAGTTGAATTTATGAACTTTATTTAAAATGAAGAACATCTTTCAGTGAGGTTGTCAGCCCCAGAACCAACGCCCCATATCACAGGCTGTTTATCAATCTGTATGAGCCAGGGGTCGGCACAATAGGGAGACGGGAGACAGGGACAGCTGACCACAGACAGCCCCTCTTTGGAGCCACATTGGGGTCTCGGTCAATTAATAGATTATAATGATAAACGATCTGTAGTTGATCCACTGGAAGAGCTTGATTTGAAATGACAACCATATAAAGCTTATTTGCACATCAAAGGGAGCCAAAAGAACTGAAAAATAACCAACTTTATAGTAGAGGTTGGTCCTCTGTCACCAAGGTGACCAGACATCAAAAATCAACAGTGATACATCACTGCAGACCTTGGTTACAAAGGAGACTTGTGCTCAGGCTGTGAGGAGAACTATTTACTACAGAGTGTGTTGATCTCTCTGTAGTATTTGAGTATATTGGGGGGTGGGGGGTGGAATTAACTTCTGTTGAGCAGATGAGATAATTCCAATACTGCATAGTGTACAAGCGATTACCTGGTCTGAAGTGGGCTGATCTCTCTGTAGTAGTTGTGCATGGTGTGGTAGAACACGCCCACGATGGTGGTCTGGGCTGTAAGGTATGGAGGGCAAGGGATCGGAAAAAAAAACAGAAACTGAGGTGTGACTCTACGAATAAACAGACAAAACGACAGCCATACCTGCCATACTTCAGCAGTACTGATCAAGGGGGGGGGGGAAGAGGGGAGGCAGGTGCTGGATGGAATTTCATTAGCACAGACCTGCTGCTGGACACTGGCAGAGGAGTCTTAATTGCAGGGGTGTTATTTGCACCCAAGTGAAAGGAGGTGAGGGGGTAGAGGCAGGGCTTCGACCCCTCATGTGACGAGAGGCTAATGGAGCGGCAGAGCTCACAGCATGACGAGCCCACAGCTGGTGTTAAAATAACCATAACGAAGACGTAACCGCAACAGCCTCGAATATCACAGCCCGCCTGTGCAGTGGCCACCGCAAGCCAACAAAACGCCGGGAGAAACTGGCCAACAGTCTCCGTTCATAGTTACGGGACAGTACAAAGGCGTCCGTTCAAAGGTCAAATTAAAAGCAATAAAACAAATTCCTCTGAAGCCAACATTAACCACAACCAATTCCTGTTTCTTCCATTTCAGTTACCTCTCCAGACTGGCTTCTAGTCTCAAATCCCCTGAATATAACTACGTAATTAAATAAATACAGAAATAGATACATAATTCTAAAATGAAACTACTATATGACATACAAAGAGCACTGCATCTTATCAAAGCTTTGTAATTACTCTGACATAAGAAAAGTCATGGGGTAGTTCTGTGTGCTTAATTCCATTAGAAAACCAATACTAGGTGCGTTTGTCTGTAGGGGGAGCCCAATGTGCCCAGGCTCACATTTAACAGCAGGGACGTTCTGCTTGCGGTAACCTTTATATTTAATTTCTGATAATGGCCTTTTAATAGATGTTTAAAGCTGCCCATTCAAACATAAGCATGACTAAAGGCCGAATTTGGATGGACAAGAGGCAGCCTGGGCTCCAGGCCCAAATGCAGAAGGGAAAATAAATATAGACACAGGATTTAAAAAGCTTAAAACAAACTTTAACAAGGATAACTATAGCAAACAGACAAATAAATGGCCCCAGCCTTATTAGAGAGCATTCCTGTATGAAGGGAAATGCTTACAAGCTTTAAGAGTCTCTCTCACACCCTCTCCCTTGTTCTGCATCAGACCTGTGAGCATTTTGTGTTTTTTAAAGGTTACGACGCTCGTTGGCGCTGCCAAAATGCCACACGCGGTCACACTCAGTAGATTAGGTCACGCCCCCTGGCTGCCACAAAGCCTCTTCCGCTATTTAGCTGCGGGCGTAATAGGGCCGTCGATTTCACACATGGTTACTGACTGAGCCGGGTCATACGGAGTCCATTTTCTGTGAGAGGCCTGGAAGGAACTTCAGAGAACTGCATTTATCTTTTGAAACAGCTACCCATTCCATCCCATCAGCTGTGAGACACTCAGGAAGACCAGCAAGAAAGGATTAGGTGCTGCTTACATCCATTAGCTGAAAGGGACTCGAGTGAGCAGCGGGCGGGGTATGGAGGGGGGCAGTCTCACCCTTATTGCTGAAGGCCTCCCCAGGGACAGAGATGTAGTTCTTCCCCTGTGTGGGGAAGCGGTAGTGGCTCAGACTGACGTTCTGCGGGATCTTCATCAGGGAATAATCTAAAGAATGGGAGACAATGACGTTGACAGTGAACAGAACGGAAGGATTTTCAGACTCGATGGTCAGGGACACAGAAGTCCCACGGTAAACATGACAATGACAGAAAGCTATACTTTCTGCAAGGATTTGCCGGTTGTTTGTGTGCTATTGGCCAGATTAGACATACAATCCACATTCCAGTGAGGAAGCAGGTCTATACACAAATCAAATAAAACATAAATCTAGCCTAGCTCATGCTTGAAGAAGTTCATCTCTTGTGTAAATCAGCAGTTTTGAAGTCTGTTTTTCAATTGCTACTGCTTTATATCATATACTTCAAAAGTAAAAGCCTCTAATTTGAATCCCTAATCTGATTTTACCACCTCATATCATTCAAGATGTTGCTTTTGTTTCTTTCATGTTTCTAATCAACCTTTGGAACTGAAGCTTGTCTTCAAGGAGCCAGCAACATCCAGAGATCTACAATGTGTCAGATAACGAAGGTTCCAAATTAGCACAGCTTTGGTACAAGAGCAAACATTTACAAAAATGTATATCACTTTTAGTGGTGTGTGTGTGCACCCTGCAATGGGTTTGCGCCCCATCCTGGGTTATTCCCTGCTTTGCACCCTTAGCTTCTGGGATAGGCTCTGGACCCCCATGAATAAGAAAATGGATAGATGGATGGATAGATGGATGGATGGACAGACATATGTACATCAGCTGTTTTTACAACTATCTTCCTCATGCTTTGGGGGCTCGTCAGCACTACCCCCCAGCAACTGCCAATCATAAGCGACTGGCACCTATCCAAAGTCAGTGGCCAGAGGACTCAAGACTCATGATCATAACCTTCAATGGAATGCTCCATTAAAAGCTACATTATACATTAAAAATGCAACAAAGCTGCTTTTATTCACCCAAAACAGCAAACCTGTAACTCAGTTGAAGAGCAAACCTGTAACAACTGATAGTTACTAAATATAAAAAATATGTGTTACACCACCCCACATTCTGAGTACAGATATTTATGAATGATATTTTACTGTCTGGACACCTCTGTAAGTGGGAAAAAGTCAGGTGACCTGCCACAGATGATTTTCCATCAATAGCAACGGTCCCCTCAAGGCTGGACTCCACGTTGGATGCCATATGGATCATCACTTTGTCCACCGTCTCTATCAGTCCACTGACCATGGGTGTCAGCTGCTGCAGAAACACAGCAACAGTCTCAGATTAGTTTAATCACTCTGCCTGTTTAGGAAACTATTCCAAATCCATTACAAGGGAGTTCGCATGTAGTTTTACTCATTTGTGGAGCTGATTTTTTGCTCAAGCAGAAATGCCAACTCCACGGCACATCTTTGAACCACGAGATGAATGCAGTACTTGGAAGATATCAACAGGGCACAGGGAGAACATGCAAACTCCAGAAAGACAGACGTCTGAGGTAACAGCTCTACCCAAAGAGGCATAGTCCCAGCCTTCCACCATGTCCCGTATTCCCAAAATTACCAAATCAAGCAGCCTTAATGATTACAGACCAGCTTCACTGACATTGCAGGTGATTAAGGCATTTTGAACATCTTGTTGCTGCCTACATTCTAAACTGTGCCTCCATAATGCAGACCCACTCCAGTTTGCATATTGGACCAACAGGTCTATGGACTATACACAGCGCCCCCTAGCAACTCCTAAAATGCTTACACTAATATTAACTAGCTACAACAAAAATGAACCTAATGTATAAACAGATCGTGATGATATCCAGACCATTGAAAGGGGAAACGACTGTGAAAAGCATCTGGATAACACTGCCTAGCTAGCTATACATCTCCTGCAAAAGAACGAGAATGTTGCTATCTTGAAAAGGCTAAAATGTCCCTCTTCAAAAACAATCAAAGCCTGCGGCCACAAGAGATGACATACCTCTTCCATGTCAGGCCACCCTGGTGAAGACAGGACCTCCTCCACACTTTTAAGAAAGGCCTGATTTTGAGATAAGGACAAGGGATGTGAAAAAACAAACTCAATGTGAGTCAGCTACAACGTGTAAATGGAGAAGGAGCACAAATAATTTTACATAGAAATGTACCAACTGGGAAAAAAACTTTATAGTCAACCCATCTGAAAGAAAACATTTCACACCCAGCAGGTTGTATTAATGTATCCCTGAACAACATTCAGCAATGATTTACATTAACCGCAGCTTCATAATGCATTCATTATGCATTCATAAAACATGCAGTGCACCTTCATAATGCATTTCCTAAGAAGCATGTAAGTATACCTAAACATCTTAACATGTCTTAACAGCTTTAAAATACAATAATAACAAACATTATATGATTATATGCTTATTATGTTTATTATTATCATATAATGCTTGTTATTAAAGTATATTAAAATTGTTAATATATGTTAAGATATACCTGTTCCTTATGAATATTCTGCAAATGCATTATAAAGGCATCATGAGGGTGCAGTTAATGTAAAGCGTTACCCAACATTCTTGGTCAAAACATTTGTCATTTTACTGTATGTTATGTGGAATAAATGGGTCAATGTTAAAGCAAGTGGTAACACTTTACTTGACTGGGCACCAATACTTAGTAATAACTCAGTTACTACTGAAGTATAAATCATGAACAAATCATGAACAAATATAGTTGCTTGTTCCTTCAATAGTTCCTACAATAGTTCATACAGGTTTATAGAATTAACAGATATAATAAATGCAGTAACTGCTTGAGATAAATCATGTGTCATGAATCATTAATGATGAACTAACATGAGATCAGTATGTAGCTAAAACTTAGTTTCTAGTTAATTAATACATAAGTAATACTATATTATTTGTGCCCCGTCAAGTAAAGTGTAACCAAGCAAGTTCTCTAAGGTGAAAGGCAGAGGCAGTTTCCCAAGCGCGTTACCTGGGTTAGGCCATTGGCTGTCTTTTGTGGTATGGACTCATTGGGCAGACTCATGGACTTGGGGAACTGGAAGTTTTGCATTTCCACTGTCAAGTTGGTGATGATTGGATGGTAAGAGTCGGTGGACTAGGGCAACGTGACAGCATGGAGGTAAGAACCGGTTAAACTATCCAAATACCACACTCAACAGAATTTTTAAACAAATTTTCCGCCTTTAATCCCAACATCAGTCTTCAAAACAACACACAATACCTGTTCCTTTAGAGCCTCTAATAACAGGCCCTCGTTCACTTCTTTCCGTTAAGCTTTAGCGAGTAATTTTGACGTAGTATCATTAAAGGAGGCTACTATTTGCTACACCCCACCCACGGCTCTCTATGCTTTGCATCAAGAGCAATGAAATTGGGATGAACTCAGCTATTTAATCCACCAGATGGAACAAGATCCAAGCAGCATTTTCTAACCCTTCTTGTCACGCCAGACTAATTTCTGCAGACATCCTAACAGTCTGCAATGATTAACCATTTTCACCCTTTTTGTGGGTCAGCAAACTGGTCATGGCTCTGTGCAATAGGTGTCTGATATAACAGAAAGAAAACAAAGCTGCCAAAATAAAATAAGCAAGGGTGACTAACAGAACCAGACCTCTGATTCTTAATAATGCTTAATAAATAGTCCAGATGCTCTATGTGTGCAATCAATACGCCATTTTTCTTTCTCCTCTGAGAGCAGTGAGTAGGAAAGCAATCATTACATAAATATAAATCTTCTTTATTCACTCTGCCACTTGTTGCAAGGCAATTAAATCTCTTCCAGTGACTTTGTATTAGTTGATTATCCGGGAACTTCCAAGTATGTGCTTAGATGTGTGTCTCCACTATGTGTAACATTTTTTTTTTCCTGAAACACAAGCTTTGCCTGCATGTTATGGAGCAATGACCAGACAATCAGCTTAATCTCCTCTGTGACTAATGTTTACCACTGTGAGTCAAAAGGTTCAAAATAGCCCAGGTTCATTGATGAAAGCATTGTGTCAATAATGAATGAAGTCAACCCAGTATGTAATGGAAACCAAACTCACCGAGGGTTACTGTCCGAATCCCTACCTTTTAGAGGTGATCTCATTGAACAGGTCTAACAATAGTACACGGGGGATGTCAACATCCACTGATCACACATAACTGAGGGATAGTAATGTGGTTTAATTAGAAATCATGGTCATTTTTAAACTGGGGTGGTGGTATATAAATACTGCATTACTCCATGAATCTGCTCCCCGTGGATTTCTGCCATTATACTGGAAGATGACAGGATAATTCCTGCTTTAACCTGCCAATGTGTCACTCACCTGAGAATCCACTGGAGAGGAGGTAGGCTTTGGTACATTAGGCGTCATGGAGGTGATGGCGTGGTCACCTGTAAAAGTAAAACATAATATGCCAATAAATAAAGACATGCGCAAGCCTCTTTATGCGTAATTTTCAAAATGAACTGAACATTTCCAGCCCTGCTTCCAGGGCTCTGTCAAAGGCATGTCAAACACCTTCATCATCTTGTCTTTTTCAGGCATTCTCAGTAAACATTCACATAAAGTGTTTGGGAAAAAACAGGATAGTCAATGCCAAAACAAAGGGATGGATTCTCACTTGTTATGACTGCATTTATAGCCAGAGATGACAATAAAAATGTAAAAATAACTTTAAAAATTAATACCATTCCTGGACCTAAAGCTTTTAACAATCCATTGGAGGTTGTGCTTCTGAACAGTAATACTTTAAGATAAACACACTTAAGAAGTTTATCTGTGTCCTTAATTATTTTTTTAAAGGATTACACAAAGTTATTACGCTTGTAAATCAACAAAATAAAATTACATTATGATACAGATACAGCCTGCAGGGTCTCATGTTTGTGAAGTTTTCCTGCAGGAATTGAGGTTTCCTCCCACAATTCAAAGACATGCTATTTGGGTGAACTGGTGTCTTCATAATGCCTGTGTGAGTATGTGCCCTGCGATGGACTGATATTCATTTCAGAGATGGATGGATGGATGGATGGATATAACAAACTGATCCAAAACATGGTTTCAGCCCTTTGGAGAGTTTACTGTAAATGGTCAGCCAAGTCAGTAGAAGAACTGGGACATTAACAGAATAAGACTCTAATGTAACTGGCTGACCTGGTGTCTCATGCTTCTGTCTGACTTACCTCAGCCTGTCTCTCCCAGACAGCTGTGAGAAGCAGCAGCTGCCCCCTGGCATCCTTCACCCAAGACACAAAGACCCATTAACAGGAAGGAGTGCAGGCTTTGAACGTCAGTGCAGGCTTTTAAAAAAATGACATTCTCACAGTGTCTGTAGCTATGTGTCTTTTGAGGCATCCTACACATTGTTTTTGATGAGCGGAACGGTCCATCTCAGGCGCCTCTCTTGAGACTGACATGCTTTCTTTTGCAGTTTGAGACGCGCTGCTCCTTCTCCCCAGAAACATTCTTCAACCATTCATCTTCCAACCACTTATCCAGTCCAGGATCCCGTGAAAGACTAATTTTGAAGAGCTAAAATGCTGCAGTTTTGAACTTCACCATTCTGCTGGGTTGGGCTCACTCTTAAACTCAAACAAAACTCTGTTCATTTAATCAAACTTTTGCCGATACACAATTCCATGGACCATTAAATCCAAAAAGTACATGTTGCCCTTCTGCTTAGTGTCCTAACATTCGCATGGTGTCTGTTTGAAATTTTTTGTCCAGTCGTGTCCAGCCCGTGGGCTCATCATAGACACGAAGCCACTTAGGTTAAACAGTTTCATAACCTGTCATGTTTCTCATTGTTACACATCTGGTCATTTCTGCTGAAGAGCATGGCCGAGCAGAACGGCATCACCGAAGCAGCCCGTCTCCCGGGAACCGAACCAGTAACCTGCCGGGTGGCAAATTCTGCCCCTTAGGTGTCATACTTCCTGCTGCCCGCTTCGCTCAGTGGTGGGGGGCAGGGAGAAGGCCTGAGGGGCCCAAAACTGGCAGTCGACGTGCAGGACGTGAGCAGCATGTGGAAGTCAGAGCTTTGCCATTCCTCTGTGTGACCGTGTATGGAAAACAGGTGCTGCGAGACGGCGACTCTGCCAGCAATTTGCATCGGTGCTGATGGTGTGACCTTTTTCAGGTCACCGGAGATCTGGACGCTAACATTTCAGCAGATGTAATTAGCAACTACTTAAAAATAAATTAATTAGTTGATAGAATACTACCAAATGTACCAGAAACCTCTTGTTTTGACATTGTGGGGATCATTTTTTCAGGTCCCCACAAAGATCTGTGAATGCAATCAAAAAAGTAAAAATGCCAAAAGCGTTGTATTTTGTTTGGTTACTTATGGTTACGGTTAGGGCTGGGTAGGGGTTAAGGTCGTCATGTTGGGATTAGAGTTTTCCCATAGAAATGAATGGAGAGTCCCCACAAAGATATAATTACAAACCTGTGTGTGTCTGTGTCTATATGTGTGTGTGTGTGTATAGTACTGTGCTAGAAGATCAAAGAAAATGCTTAATTAAGCTATCTATCTGAATAGCAAAAGTATATTTTCTCAAAAAAAAGAAAAAAATACAATTTAACATTAATATATAACCCAAATATTAAGAATATCAGCTCTTCTCCAAAAAGTCATTGATGCCTTGTTGGATGGCTAGTTGAACACCACTTTGGTTTTCAAACCTTTCTTCAGGGACACATCAGTCATTCCATGTATTTCTTAAATTAGCTAGATAATTTGATAAGGTTCTGACTAGCCAAGAATTGTGTGGTCGCAAAGTTTTGAAATGGTTAAGCTACATGATATTACAGCTCTATGCCATTTAAGCATAATTTTGCACAGTTCTATATATAAAATATGTAGTATACATGTTCTATATACACATATATTTAGTATTACTAGTATTATTATTATGTAGTATATATGACTAATATGGTACAATAAGCAGGTTTTCCTTTATCACAGCGTTAATTCCTTTCAGTTAATTCAGAATTCCCTTTTTAACCCAGACACGTGATGAGCTGACAACCTGCAATTTGAGTTTTACCAGTCCCCAAACTACACATGGCATGCGAGCTCGCTTACTACATAGCAAAGGCACTGAAGGCACAGCACTCCAGTCAAATGCAACTCTTTTAATGCAATCAACTTTTGGAAGCTAAGGCTTATTTGTAATGGGGCCTGCCGGTTTGCTAGAAGAGCTTAAAAAGAGCCCCATAAACATTTGGAGAGCCCCCCGATGACTGTGCGTATGAAAAACACATGGCTCCCCCCCCCCCCAACTGAGCACTGTTGTTTAGTATCAATCACGATTGCTCTACCAACATTCTCCAAGGCCCTGACAGAAAGGGGGCTGGAGAGATCAAGTATTTCCCCTTGCAATGGAAAGCCTTGCAGGAAAGAGTGTCAGGGTTTCACCCAGATATCCTAGCAAGCGAATCGCCAAGCCGCACCAAAACGTCCCTTTGCAATTTGGAGTAAATTACGACCGACAACCTCAAGTCTATTTCCCTTCAAGCTTGGCATTTGAGCCTCTTCTACAGGTTGTTCCCCACTGCACTCAAATTAAACAACCTAGAGCCACATGGGAATATCACTATCAAGTTACTAGAAGTGTGAAAGCTTTCACTCCGCCTTACTCTGCTGACATCCTGGTCCCCTTACACTTTTCCTGAATGTCACCGATGCTGCTTGAAGGTTTTGGTTCAGACATTTTTTATTGTCTTATTGTCAGATGTGATATCTATGCACGGAATGTGGCACGTGCCCAGGAGGAAATTACGGAATAATTCTGCCTTTCCAGGATGGCAGACACTCATATCACTGAAGAGGAAATCATGAACATCACAAAAATGACATCAAACGTGGCTTTGCCTGCCTCATCTAAGCAGTCAATGGTAGATGCTTCAGATTTCCCCCTCGTTTCTGGACCTTTAGTGACAAAATGTGCTTTTTCTCACCTGTTGCAGCCTTGTAGTAGAGCCAGATTTCTTCGGGGGACAGGGCCCTCTCCCAGATGACAAACTCGTCGAAGGCCCCCGTCACATAGCGCCTATCCGACTGACTACCGCCAGTCTCGATGACACGGTCTGTGTAGGTGTTGCCATCGTTCGATGACGCGTTGCCTACCGGATCACTGACATTGAACGTCCCATTGATGTAGATGTTCAGGCCGTCCTTTTCCGTCCAGGTGAACAGAAGGTTTGTCCAGTAAGGTCCTAGACACACAAAAAGAAGGATGAGCTTGACCACGAAATGTTTCTACATATAATGCAAGGTGGTAAAAGTACAAATATGTTGCAAATCTTGACCGCATTCTTCCTATAGCAGCGAGGTCCAAAACGCACAAAGATGGGGCAAGGCTTGACTATGTTGTTTTTATGAGCATTTCTTTACTGAATGTATGTTTTTAATACTTCACAGATGCTCCAGTTACAATTGTAGAGTTTGGCGCAATGTCACATTCCATCTCAATGAAAGGAGAGAGGGCAGAAACTCAGATTGGTGGATAGACCGCAATAATGCATTCAGATGAAGAACATGAACCTAAAGTTCAATATGGGCTGCGATGGCTCTCCCTTCAGGGGAAACGCCTGTGTTATTTTTTAGTATTTCTCCAAACATGAAAGGAGCATTCCTCCATCTGGGCTGGCTCTTCTGTCCCCAGTGGGCTTGGGTGTTGTCCTCTAGCAAGATAGTGAAGGCAGAGTCCTGGGATGCCGCTGAACCCAATGCAAGGTTCGTTTACTGCCTGCTGTGAATATCCGTAGACCAGCACATTTCCTGCTGTTGGTTTGTGTGACCCTGAGTTCAGAGGTCCATCGCACACGATCCTCCAGGAAGCAACATTAACATTAAGTACATCTCATTAAGAGCAATACAGTTGGTCACACTTCTTTCTCTTAAATGAGTGTGTGACGGTCAACACAGCCCAAACCTCGACTGGCATAGCAAAGAACCGCGTGGCAGACGAGCATGAACCATGCGTGCCTCTAAGCCCCTAAGATTTGAATGTTTTGATTGTGTTTCACGGAAGAAACAGCAGTTCACTCCATGCTCCGACTGAAAAGCTCTGGATGGCGTGGTGAAATACCTCACTCCTGCTGTCAAAGGTTTATAAACCAATGCCATGGTAAACACCCATGTACAGAACCCGAGTGTTGAAACACACGGCTCGGGGAGCTTGAAAGGCTCAGTCGGGGTGACGGGGGGGGGGGTGAGAAATGAGTATGTCAGCCTAGCGCCATCCAGAGCGCTGCGTGACAGTCTAACATATGAGTATGAAATACATGATGCCAGCACCCTCTTAAAGATCAGGTCAAAGTACCCAGCTCAACTGGGCTATAAAGCGGCATGCAAACTCTGACATGGGAGAGGACTGTCAAACAATTATGTTGCTGTCAATTAAGAGAAACATAAAGCAGAACCACCTTTCAAATAAGCCTTTCCCAAGTTGCAATGAATAAAAGCTTCCAAATGGGCAATCCAGAGAGCTAAACAACATTACATATTAATGTCCACTACTGAAGCCTTTCCCCATGCACTAGACAGGTATTAAACTGCAGAGCTTTTATAAAACTCCATTGATGTTGTCTGAGATGTATTTTTCATGGTTCAGTGAGATCGAAGTTTTTAGATGGAGCATCTGATGAAAGCTTGAAAACATGAACCGTGCATTTTCTTATTCGGAACACATCTCCACCTTTCCCAGATGGAGTTACCTGGTAGCTTGATGTTGGCCTTCCAGTGTCTAAAGTTTCCATGGATGCTGAACTCCACATAGCCACCAAAGGCATTTGCGTAAACTGAGAAGCCGTTGGATATGAACTTGCCGTAGGTGATGGCAAAGCGAGACTGAGCTTCCTGATTCTTCCAGAAGAAGGAAAATGTGATCCCTGTAGAAGCAAGGAAAAGAGAAGCATTTTTAGAAAAATTACACCCTCAAGAATTGGAAGCAGAAATTAAGAGGGAGAATTAGGAAACACCATAACCATAGTATGCATACTTAACTAGGACTAAAAAATTAGGCACGGTACCTTTCCATTTTGCAAGAAAATTTTCAAAATGCAAATCTAACTATGAATTGCAGCAAGATGCTAATTTCCTTTCTGATTGTTCTTTCTAATTAAGTAAAGCTGGAGCCTATGTGTCTACAGCAAGCTGTAAACATACAAGTAAAATAAACAGCTGCAGATACAGACGATGCTCTGTCAGGTCTATTTGTTTATGCAAAGAGAACAAAAACTTTTCCTCCAACTTTGATACACACATCAGGAGAGGCTTATATCTAATGACGCAAAATCACATGGGATGAATGAAGTTATTTCATTTCCTTTGGATAAACTTACACTTTGAACAACAAAAGACACATGCCCTCCCCCGAAATCAACTGCACGGCACTGGAACAAACTATCAAAGCAAGGGTGAGCAGGACAGATCAAGCTGAAACAGAATGAGATGATGAGCTTCATAATTGCATCAGCCCTGACTTGCACCGTGTGCCTTTACCCTCAGGGGTCAGACCTACCTTGCGGTACACATTTGGTTGGGTCACTGATGCACGAATTCTTGTAGTTCCCAAAATGCAGAAATGTGGCCCCAGTGTCTCCATTTACATAGATCCCCTTGTTGACCATTCCTTCCACAATGTCTGCAGAAAGGGAACAGGGCCAAAAAAATATTACTTTGCATGAATATATAAATTTTGAGGCCTTTCTGAGCCACACCTGGTTTGAGTTTTCCCAAACAGTGATGTAATCCATCAAACTCAACTAAGTTTGACTAATTAGGTCTGAGACGTCCAGATTCAACCCCAGATCAAATTAAAATATCATCAAAATGTAAAGATTTCATAAAGAATAAACAAAACTCTGCTAAGAACGGTAATCCACTGATATTCGCTATTTTACTCTGGATCCCCAAATTAACCAAAGTGTTTAAAAATGAGCCATCAGCTTTATCTTTTTCTTGGCAGGCAAACGCCAAGCTTCTCTCACTTCAGTAACATGTCCTAGCTGACAAAAAAACACACAGTAATCCCATAGTAACACATCCATTTATATTGTATAAACATGTGCAAAACTGTTAGAATATCATTTGTTATTTCTATTGTGGGATTGCTAAGCAACTAGAGGTTTTTGCTCATTTGCAGGAATACCAGTACAAGAGAAGAAAGCTTGTTCCTCAATGATTAACATACAGTATTCCCCTCCTTATTTATATAATATGTCTGGTCACAAAAGGCCTTCCATTAATGTGAAGTGGAGTTTAATTATACTGCTCTCTAGAGCTACTTTCAATCCCAGGGGTCGGGAGCTGACTGGCATCGGCCGTGGTCTCAGGCTGCTGCTCCACTTGACCATAGAGACAAACAGATCTCGCTTAAGAAGGACGACCCACACTGTGAGCGGAACTCAGCACCTTGCTGAGGACAAGGCAAAGCATGATGGCTTGTTAATGAGCAAAACTGGGTCTCCATGCTGGGGACGGGAACTGGCTGCTGGTTCCGGTGTCATAAGGAACCTTGGCAGTGTGGTTTTTATCGCGGCATTGAAGCTGCACCGCTTTCAGTTACATAACCAACTCTATATCTGGGAAGAATGTAAACAGTCTAACTTGGTATGGATTGCAGCACTAAAAGGTTAAATCATGAAGTAGCAAGGACTGGTATATATACTGCCTGCAAACTCGTACCTGCAACGGTCTGAAAACCTATATAAGTGGTGGACACCCCTCGAAACTGTCACGAAAGTCACATATGGGTCAAATGCAGAGGTCACATTTCGTTGTTGCACACTGTGTGCTGTGGTGTGTTGACAATGACCACTGATCACTAAATTCTAATTCCAAACAGCAGGTAAACCAGTGATCAGTCAAGGGGAGAAATGGGAACTGCTGAACAAACACTACATTTTCATTGATCAGGGCTGTTCCTCACCTACAGCTGCAGAAATGTTAGTGTAGGTAGAGTCATTGGTATACACAGAGGAAGAGTTATGGAGGTGAGGAAGCACAGTGTGGTTGTGGATCGTGAGCGCTGGACAGGCACATGGGAAGAAAAAAAAAACAGACAAAAACAGAAAGAACAAGGTGATTCAGGTGAACAAACACGATGACCAAAGACAAAACAGACACAAAGACTATACGGACATGCTGAATGGACAACAGGGAGACAGAGACACTCTGTGATGGACAATGAAGGCAGCGTGAAGCACAGAGCAGCCTATACAGTGGGGTTGGGGACACAGAGCAGCCAAACGCCCCCCTTCTCTTCCTACATCTCCATTCTTAAACTAAACTTTTATTTTAAACGATTATTTTTTCGGTTTTGGTTAATTTTTTTCTGGGCACAGATCTCAATGGGAAAACGACATTGAGGTTAACTAGGCAATTGTTGCATAGTTATTTCCATAAAACACCCAGTATTGTTTTTCCTGTATTCAATTTTAAGCAATAAAAAGCAGATCCGAAAATCAACGAAATTCCTGCCTTCCTGCCTCTCATAGTCAATTGTATACATGGCCGACTGTACACAATTCTTATTAATCAAAATACCATTTTTTAAAACGTTAAAAAGAGTTCTTTTACATCAGGTATCCTGGGGGAAAAAAAGGTGGCACACTGAAAATATTATGGATTTACTTTATACTTTTCACGTCTGGAATCGTGCTGCTCTCCATTAAGCAATCCCCAAACGTGCGAATAAAAAAAGCGGCACTTTCAAGACCTTGAACTATCGGAAGCGTGTACAATCACATGTTTCAGGGCCGCTTATATGGGGTAAATTATGCTAATAAACTGTGCTATATTAGGAGTAAACTTGCGATACATATAGAGAGGTTGTGAACGTCGAGGTGTCCTATCCTGAACGGCGACAAAAGTGACTAAGCATTATGTGACAATATGAAAAATGTCCCAAAATGTGCCTGATGATCAGTTTATTTTTCAATAAAAAAACTTTGTTTTCTTTGCATGTTTCATATCTCGCCTGCATGAATACAGCACACATAAATCGTATGAGATTTCACTTAGCAAAAAGAGAAATATTCGCGACTCTTAATCGACAGCGCCCCAAACTCGTTAGGTATAATGTGCGTTAAGCGAAGATGACGGAAAACCGCCACGAGCTACGACGAAACAAGGACAGGAAAATACATTTTTTATGTTCTTAAGTATACGGCTGTTTACATACATATACTACTTCCATTAACATGACCTGTTCTGTTTCCAATCTCGTCCCACAGTCCGTATATGCCCTCCACCTCATCCAATGGCCAGTAATGCGATGCCGCGGCGAGCACCTGCAGGCCTGTAAATTGACAAGCAGAGAGACTCGCTTAATTAGACATTATAATAAATTTTTAAATAACTTTCAAGTGTCGATTTTTAGAGTTTTTTTTTTGTGTTATATATGTTATATGTTATACTAATAGCGAATGTTGTACTAACGCTATACTCTTATTATTGCACTTGAAGCCCTTAAGTTTATTAAAATTACTTAGTTTGAGGTTGAGAATCCCAGATTTCTGAAACTAGTGAAAAGTTTCATTTTATTTAAAAATTGAATAAATGGGTCATATAAAAACAGTATTACTTTCCGATAGTGTTTAAATAAAAGGACGCACAATCAGGATGCAAGCAGTAGATGTACGGAGCTTCAGTTCAACACACAGGTACACAGACGTTTGATTAACATTTTCTGCTTTAAATAAATGTAAAGTGCAACCACTTAAAAATCCTATCACTGAACATTGTTAAGACAATTAAACATTATGCCAATGTCGGCTGTTAAATGCTTATTACGTCCACAAGTTATGGATAGCAAATTTATATATATATGTGATTAAATACAACCGCCCGTGGCAAAATTAACGTGTCTTTATTAAAGAACTGGAAAATAAAAGTTTAAATAAGAAACTCACCAGGATGCTTTAAGGTTCGTTCCACTCGACCATGAACCTAGAAGCAAATGTATAAATCCACGTGTCTACAATGAAAACGTCCTCAGTTTTTAGCAAAATAAATTGTGTTGTATGTAAAGAACAAAAATTACCTGGGTTAAAGATAGACCCGTGATTAACGTTAGCACTCTGTACAATTTCATACTTAGGCTATTTTTAATGATTAAGCAACGCGTGTTTCTGTATGAACCAAGATTATACTTTTTAACCAAGTCCCTCAAGCATCAGAAATCCAGGAAAGAACACACATTTTCCAAGTTGGAAATAGTTTACTGCTGTCGAAAAAAAAGTCGCTAAAAGTATCAAACTTATATCGATGTATAAATATTTATGACAAAATAACCCCTGTATCCCAAAATAATTATCCCCAAACACAATAAAAATGCAGCAGAGCCGAATCTTTAAACTTTCACATCATCATTAGTAAAATACCCTGATTCTTTGTTTGCGTAATTGCGCAGATTTGTAATCCGTTACTTGGGAGGCTACCCTAGACCCAGCGCTGGACTGGTAGCGTCCCTTTACGATCCCCGCGGTCCTGTGTCGGCTTTCCACGTAGTTACGGGCTTTTCGGCTGTTCAGTGTGAAGATCGGCGCGCCGTCACGTTGGGTGTGGAAATTCAAATTCTGATGTCATGTTTCGGACCGAGTGTGAGGTGGCTCTGAGCACACCGTCAATCTGGAAGATGTGACTGTCACCCCGAACTGTATTTCAGCCGCGAACACATGTGTTGCAATATGCAACCATGCGTAGTATATTTTATTTTACCATTTTTTTCTCCCTAAAAGTCAAACATACATTAGGCTAAATTATGGCATCAGTGGACTGGATAGTTTTGCAGTACTGGAACCAAAGACGGCAGTTGCTAAAATCCCTTGAGTAATAGGAAATGATTTATATGTACAAGGTATAACTTAATTTATGCGTTCAGTCGTAAGAGAGCAGAACAGTGGTATGAGAGTCATGTGTTTCACATATGTAGCCTAGTTGTCAATCAAATAACGCAAATCCCATGCAAGTGTAATTCAGTGTTATATAGAGGATTACTTTTATTAATTGAAACAATAGGATATATTTTGTAGATTAATTATAGCCATAAAATCAGACCTACCTCCCAGGGCCGTGGCCAGGGTTTGAAAAATAGTGAGGTCTGGGACCGGGGGTGTTTGTGGGTCTCGGTATTGATACCGTCACCGTCAAAAGCTGTTTATTTTATAAGTAATTAGTTAAACGTTAGTTAGCCTAATTTTTTATTCAGATGAATATTTAGCTTCAAATTTTTTTTTTAGCTCTTAAAAAATGACCGAGGTGACCTCATAGCTGGCTGCGGCCCTGCTACGTCATATTTTATAGAAGCAAGGGGAATATCATCAAACAAATTTATCTATGTAAGAGGTCTAAATGTAGATGTAGGCTATATACGGAAGTATTTGCACCGTATTAGGCCTATCGATTATCTATTCCGACCTGAAAAGGAATGACATACAGAACGAACCGAAGTTTTAAAATAACGTTTTAATATTATTCGTGTTTATTTGCATTACTATATGATTGTGCTCTACTTTTTAGTTTCAATATAGGCCTATATCAAACATAAAAGGGAAAACCTGAACATTTTAATATCTGAATTTGTCATATCGCCACATTTAGTGCTTATGGAATGAAATCTTACCGGACATGTTTAGAAGGTTAAACGGCGCCATCGTGTGACCAACATGGCGAGCAAAAAAAAATAAATTGATTTTCAGTCTAGAAACGAACTCTCATACACAGGGCTGCCAACTCTCACGCATCTGGCGTGCCGCTGACGCAAGAAATCTTACGGCAATTCTGTATTATTCCATAATTAACTTAAAATTAGCTACTATTTACAAGGTAATAAACTGTTACATGTAAATGCGCGTGCAGACTTGTCGCGAAATGAAAATCTCACACCTGCCAGCTAACCAACCCTGGCATACAGCTACAGAGCATAGTGTACATATAACGTAGAGTAGGGGCAGAATTCCATGAGGACATGCAACAATGCCAAGGGAAGCAAAGTGCAGTGGAGGTGTTCATTTTAGCAGGGATACAAGAACCACTGAGGATTGAGAAAATGGCACAAGAAAGCCATAACTTCAAACATCACTTCAAGTGAAATTTATATGATCTCCCTCCCATACTGGCACCTCCTTCCAGTGCTGCAGTTTCTTCCCAATATCCAAAAACCATTGTTTTGGGCATCGCAGAAACACCCATAGTGTAACTGGGCATTGCATCCAGAGTATTCACTGCATTGTACCCTGCACTTCAGAGAATAGCCTCCAGTATCTCTACAACACTCCAGGACATTAGTGATCATGGAGGATACATGGAGAGTAAAACCTCCGGGTCCAGATCATTCGAGCTGAAGTAACTGTACTTCTACATAAAGATAAAATGGTACTAGGGATTTCCCAGGGCCCAGAAAACCCAAGGCCTCGTTTTTTGGGAATGCTCCCAGGAAAAGCATCTTACCCAATAAACCACCATTAAAGGGAAGATTTAACAGCACTACACAGTCACGTCAAACCAACAAGGGCAACCAGGACGAAGGCCAGCACAGAACACCTTCAGCCAACCAAGCATCAGGAATCCAGCTAAGAGGCTGATTAAACATAAGGGCAACGGAGCCAAATGCTTTCACAACTGAAACAACTTTATTGAATTAAAAAAAGGAAAATAAAATGGAATGAAATGCCACAGATGTGTACAGTTTATTGCAGAAAGCTTAAATTACCAGAACAGGGGAAGAGAAAATGAAACCTAGATTGTAACAGTCCAAAAAAAAAAAAAAGGGGGGGGGGGGGAAGCCAAGTACGTAATGCAGGCCCAGAGAGGAGAAACCATTTGTTCTTCAGCTGCACAGGTCACACTGCAAGGACTCTCCACCCGTCAGGGACCATGTGAAGCGCATGTAAACGCTGCGTCAACGTAGTCCAGGGCCGGAGCAGGGCTGTGTCCTCCCACAGCTGCCTATAAAACTAGGCGGCCTGTGGCTCACAAGTGCCCCCTACAGGTCGTCCTCGTCATCTGGCAGAGCTGTGGACTGGGCCACCTAGGGAGCAGGAGAAAGAGGAGGAGAAGGGAGGTTAATCAACTACTTAATGGTCTTTCCAACAATTTACTTTATAAAAGGTTCAGTAGTGATGACACCGACAAACCAGTCAGCTATGGAAGTTTAGCCAAAAGGTCAAAGACCAAACATAAATGCAACTTAAGATATACTGGCACTGTAATGGCAACAGCTTCCAAATTCATTAAATAATTTCTGAGACATTAGAAGCAGCTCAATAAAACCTTTCCATTTACAAGGCTGTCAGACATTTGGTTATTTTCACTGGCTGCCTGCCAGCCACCTCTGTTGGTAGCTTCACTGTAAGGACAGAATTCTTAGGGTTGCCTTATTAAGCAGTAATCCTAAAACTGTCCACCTTCAAAATCCAACCGCCAGTCTTATGACGCTTCTCCAGTCACCAAGAATCAAGCTGTACCCAAACCAAACCTGCACTGACATGGCACTGCTTACTTCAGTGTCAAGGGAGGGGGGGGGGGGGGGGGAATAAATAAATAAAATACATACAGTGGTACCTCAGAACTAAAATTTAATCCGTTCAGAACTCCGGAACGAATCCTAAAAAGTTTGGAGTTGTGATCAAATTTTCCCCATAAGAAATAATGGAAAACCAATTAATTGGTTCCCAGCCCCAAAAATATGTACACCTAAATGTTTTTTTTTTGGCATTTAAACTAGGGCTGTGCAAAAATATCGATACATCTAACTATCGTGATAATTTCTTTTACGATAGTGTATCGATAGTCAAACCTCAAGTATCGATCCAAGTTGTGCCAAAAAAACTCCTCCTCCGCTCCAATAGATGTCGCTAACTCGCTATCAACAAAACACTAAGCAGTACGATATCAGAAGTAAGCAAGACATGAGTGAGCATGGCGGACAATTTAAAAACGCCTCCAGCTTTTAGAGCTGACGTGTGGCTGCATTTCGGTTTCAATACGATACCAGGGAGTACCGAATTAGACAAAACAAATGTCATTTGTAAGCTTTGCAAATCTATCTTAAAATATTCAGGAAACACTACGAACTTGCGTTATCACTTAACAAGACACCACGCAGATGAATTAGCGGCACTGCGACCTCAGCCGAAACCTCTTGATTTAAGGCAAACTACACTGGATAACATCACTAACAAACTTCCGTCTACCTCAGCTCGCGCAAAGAAGATAACGGAATCAGTTGTGCATTTCATTTGTAAGGATTTGCGGCCGTATAGTGTGGTTGAAAATGCCGGCTTCAGGCATATGGTGAATACTATGGAGCCGCGCTACATGATCCCCACTCGCAGACACATAACGGACGTAGCAGTGCCCACAATTTACGAAGAGGTAAAGCTACATGTCAAAACATCGCTTGCCTCGGCAGAAAGAGTGGCTCTGACGTGCGATGCATGGACCTCCAGAGCAACTGAGTCGTACGTTACGATTACGTCACATTACATTTCAGATGAGTGGGAACTCGTTTCACATGTTTTGCAGACACGAGCAATGCATGAGAGCCATACTGGCAGTAACATTGCAGAGTTACTGAAAACTGCATTGGAGGAATGGGACATAAAATGGAAGGACCCTGTCGTCGTAACAGACAACG